CACGGATCGGTATTGAGATGCGTATGCGAGTCTGCTGTCGGCCGAGTGGTTTCGCACCGTGTAGATGGTATGTCAATGAGACTTGCTCCAGTGATGTCCACGCGTGCGGGTTGCGGTTTCGACTAGGTGAGGCGGGCAGAGCGGTAGGGGCGCAGTCGGTGTACGAATGGGAAGATGCAAGAGCGCTGATGTGGGCTGCAGTAAAGAAGGAATGATGGAGCGAGAGGGACGCGAGCAGAGAATAAGGATGAAGACGGGCAGGCGGGCGGTGTGGTGATGGTGGAGGAGGAAGATGGGAGTGCGGAAGACGAGGAGGAAGAAAGAGTGGAAAGGGAGCGAGACAGGGGGGTTTGGCCACGCGATTGGACGGTCGGCTTGCTGCTGCACGGTCAAGGGTGCGTAACGCTAGCCAACGCCCCCCGCTGTCCTAGATGACCTATCAAACTGGGTGACAGAAGGGTCTTCGTCTTGTCGACCCAGGAGAACACCGAGAGACGAGACTAAGGTACATAATAATAAGAGAGTCTGGCATGTCCATGTACGGTCAGGTTTCCACCACCACACGCCCTCACAAATGGTGCACCCTCAGTCCGTGAATTGAGGATGTGAAGCAGTCGGGACTCGTTCAACGGCGATCGTCACGCCCATTCCCATTCACGCCCTCCCGGGTACTGCCGAGCGCTTATGCATAAAAATCACCGTCTAGCAACACCATACTACGCACCTCGCCCTCCACTTGCGAACGCAGCGAGCCTGTATGAATTCTATACCGGACTCATTGGTCAAGCTCGCATGCGCGCTTCGCACCTGTGCAGCCATACGATGGAGCACTCGGCAGTACTTCGACTTCCTTCGTTTCATCACCCGCATAGCGGCGGAACGACTGAAACATGCGCAGGAATGCACGGTAGTCCATTTTTATTGTGGTCGCATCGACGACAACGCTTTCTCTGGTGACGAAGATGCACTTCTTACCCATGCGATCGGATTGTGCCTCGTCTACACTGCTCACTGCTCTCGAAAGAAGGACGCCGTGGTCTTCATCTATTCAGATTAGGCTCCACTCCTGGTCTCCTTGAAGTCGGATGGCCCCATTCCTTCTGACATGGCCAACCCCGTCACCTATTCTGCGTTTCTTGCCCGACATCTTGCGATGCTGTTAGAGTCGAAGATGCGGGCAACTTGAGTCTGAAGTGATCGATGATGGCGATGCTCGCTCAAGCTCGCGCTGATGACTTGAGTCGTTCATCAACATCGGTCCGTGGCGATGCTGGTGAGAAGCCTGGCTGGCGAACCACTTTTGAAGGTTTCGATGGCATCCCAAGCAGCCGCTTACGCGAGTGGTTGCGGCCAGCGTACTGGTGACACCTGCTGAGGCCTCAACGAGGAGTATCGGATGAACTGGGCGATGGTGAGATTGAGTACAGCGACCGCGACCTCATACGGCATACGGAGGGTGGCATCATGTCGTTCTTGACTCCTGATCACGAACACCATTTAATCATGCGGTAGCGGTACGAAAGCTGTTCTGCGCTTGGATTCAGAGATGTTTTTGCGAATACATGTGTCGAAGATCTGATAGTGGCCCGAGCGTCCCGTTCCCAAAGCCCCTTCCCGTTTGTTTATACCAAGACGCCCGCTGCACGCTGCACGCTCCACCACCACCACCACCACCACCACCACATGCACCATTACTGTCACATCTTGTCCCCCACCACCACCGCAACGCGACTTTGCGCCCATTGCTATACTGGTCGGCTGGTAATGTCCATGCAGTGCACACGCGCCCGGAATTGAACCCTCCCGTGACGCGACACGCACGCGCCTTCCGAGTCCAACGCCGTCCTGCACGAGCAATGTCCATGGTACTCCCGCGACCACCCCTGGAACCACTCGGCATGAACGGAGGAAGCACGTCGAAGCGAAGGAGCGCGCGATTGTCGGTCGAGGGTGCGGAGGAGAATGAGCCGCCTGCGAAGAAGAGCAGAGTCAATGGCGCGCAAGCTACAAACATGCGTA